AGAAAAAAGAAAGAAAGAAAGAAAGAAAGAAAGAAAGAAAGAAAGAAAAGAGAGCAAGAACCAATGAAAGAGAAAGAATGAACCAGCGAACAAATGAAGAATGAACAAAAGAGAAAAAAAGAACGAAACAGAAAGGAAGAAAGAACGAAAGTGAGAACGAACGAACAAAAAACAAACCACTGAATAAACAAGAGAGAAAGAAAGAAAGAAAAAGGGAGAAAGAACAAACGAATGAAAAAGAGAGAAAGAAAGAACAAAAGAAAGAAAGAAAAAACAAATGAAAGGAAGGAAGGAAGGATCACTTATTTTTCCCATACAGCCTAAATCAGAGGTCACCAATAGGGGAACCTTGGTCCGGATCCGGACCCAGTGATGGTTCTGTCCGGACCCGTGCCCAGTCTGATAAATTCAGGAAAATAGATCATTTTCATGGAGCATTTTCCCAGTGATAGACAGCTTAGGTGCAGAGCTGCAGGAGGTGTGTTTTGTAGATTCACTCTACTTCAGGTGTTACGGTAATAGCATCACTCAGTTAATGAGCCAATCAAATCTTTTGTTTTTCCTGCATGACCGGAGCAGCGAGCTCTCACCAGAGCAGCAGATCAGAGAGGAAGTGACAGCATGAAAGTTGATGCTGGAAACTGTTTTAAAGATGAATGGACAGAGAAATTTATGTTCATTCTTCAGGCAGGCTGTTCAAAACCTGTTTGCCTCATATGCTCTGAAACGGTCGCATTAATTAAAAGTGGCAACGTGAAGCGCTCGTCATCTCTTTTGAGCAACGTTATCTGCTGAAGTCCGAGCAGAGAGCGGTAAATTAACCGAACTGCAAGCCCAGTACGACAGATCCACCCTCCTCATCACAAATACTTCTACAGCTCAGCAGCTGCTGAATGTTCACTCAAGGTATGGTGGATTTTGGGACAACATAAAAAAACATTTAGTGACGAGACAATCCAGAAGGAAGTGCTTAAATGCTGCTGCTGAGACATTTGAAGGAAAACAAAAAGACGAGATGTGTAAAAAAAAAAAAAAAATCCCGATGTCAGCTTCAACAGCAAGCAGAAAAATCTGAAATATTAGCTGATGTCCTGGCACAGCTGGATGCAGCTGTTCAAAGTGCACCAGGCATCTATCTCTTTGGCCAACGATGACGAGTCTACAGATGTTACTGATGATGCTCAGCTTCCTGTGTCTGCATGAAAATGGCACCGACTCCAACCAATATTTAAATTACAGACAGGACAATCCCATGTCCATTTCTCTCATTAAGAAAAGTCAAATAAAGCAGAATCGAAAGAGAAAAGGTGTCGTTTCAGGGTTTTTTTTTCCCTAAAAGAGCCTTTTTTTATTTGTATTCTGAAGATGCTGACATGTTTTGAAAATTTAATTTTTTTATAGGTTGGTGCCTCTTTAAGCAAAATAAAAAATTAAATCTTTACTTGCTCTGTTTACACCTTTTTATACTAAAAGATAAACTTTTTATTGTTTTCCGTTTTCTATAGTCGTTAACTTTTTTACTTGAAATGTAAACCTTCAATTCTTTAGGCTTGGGCCTCTTAAATTTAAGAGAAAACGGATTATTAGGCTCTGTTCACATTTAAGATGTATTTTATTCTGAGCTTTCAGTTTTAAGACCCTAAATTTATTTGCCTGGGACTACTTTTAATTATGATAAAATAGCTAGTTGTTTACTATAAAGTGCAGTTTGTTAGCAGTGAAAATGTGAACAAACGGTTAGGCAAGATCATAAAAGTCAAACGTTGGACTTTTGGAGGAAATTTAATAACTGGACCTCAGTGAGTTTTAATTGAATATCCCTGGCTTAAATATTCTAAGGCAGAGTAGTTTATTTATAGGTCATCTGCATCACCTGCTTCTTTTTGATGTCCCTGAGAGCAGCAATGTCATCAGGAGCATCGGATGGGACACTGGTTACAACTCCAGTACCTGGGGAAATCACACAACACCAAACAAAAAGCATAAAACAGTGTAACTGACTTTACTTTGCACAGGTTCAACATTTTACAGATGCCCGATGCTGCCACATTTCATTAAGTGCTGTGCAGGTGCGCTGGAGCAACTAACCAACTGTGAAAAGGGGAGAAACAAACATGATCTCATTTACCGTTGCTCATTACACTCTAGAACATTTCAGGGCAGGACGACAGATGGAGCAGGAGAGATTCGTTATTATTCTCATTGAATTTCTGACATTTCGGTTTAGTGATTCAGAAATTCAATTTACAGAAATTCATCAACAGGACACATCAATACTCAGGAAGAAAAGCAGCCCTCGAGCAACAAAGACCAAAAAAAAACAGAAAATAGTTTTTTTTGTTGGTCTGTTCTACTTCCAGATATAACAAGCGGTATGCTAACGCCCCCCATCGCTGACGGATTTGGATAGAGAATGATTGTAGCTTTTGAGAAGAGTGTTTTTTCTGGACTAGAATTGAAAATGAAATGCAAGTACCGGTAAATCTTAATGTTTTTGGTGCAAGATGTTCAAATAGATATGAATTATACTGCGTACATAAACAGAGGTAAGATTTTAATTATATTTTCTTCATGTCGGAGGTGGCGCTGACACCACCTGTCAATCAACCCAGTAGACTCGTCAGCAACTGACCAATCGGCGATCGTCGGACAAAATGGTTAAACATCGTCAGTGGGGAACATATTCGGACACGTGTTACTCTGAGCATTTAGAGGGTGGAATACAGTTTATTCCATTTCCAAAACCTAAACGAAATGTTTACGATGGATAAAAGCCAGTGACCGACCTTCATGATCAGCTGAATATGACGGTTATAAACGGGAACTACCACATGTTCATCTGTACAAAGGTCACTGCAAGTAAATCCTCCATTTTCTGTCATAATTGCATTGCAAGCTTTAAATTAAAGGTTAATGCTTAAAGTTGTATTTTGTATGTAGATATATGCTGCAACTTCTGGTTGCATAAGTTTAACATTTGTTTGCTATGATCAGTTAACACTAAACAGATTTTATAGGTTGCGCAATGCAAAATTTACACTCTTTATACATTCTGAATTTCAATGTAAATTCTTGTCCCGAGTTGCTCTGTAGCATGAAAACTACTACTGCAGTTACCATTTTAAGTTATTAGTAGCTTTGAATATTTTTTTTTACCCGCCTTCTTTGCCTTAGTGTTGGCTGATAAGGCAGATATGCCTTACTAAATGCCTCAGGTAATGATGAGCTTCACTACCGCCACCATTATAGCCATCTTGTTGGTCTGAGGATAGCCCACCCTGGGTTACATTATTATGTGGGCAGAGCGGTCTTACCGTTAGTGCCATGTCAATTGTATCCACCACCCGACGCAATGGTGGAGCCAGGAGGTGGCCACCCCATCGCGGGGCTTCAGGGTACGGATCCCCCGCGATAAATGAGGGACCACTGTATTCCAAAATTCCTATTGATAAGAGCTAAACTAGCAAACAAACTTTGAATAATGGTGGGATTGGTGTCAAAGTTGATGACTCCAAAGTGAAATACTGCAACTTTTCAAAACGTATTGATGGGAGTAAAATATTCAGATTTAAACTTTTTTGTTTTTTACCTTTGTCCTCCTTGATAGTGAGCATGGGCAGAGCATAAATAATCTTGTACGAGGTCAATGGAGCACTTAGGGCACAGCCGAGGATATCCTAAATGGACAACAACAAAAAAATGCTTACATAACTTGTTTGATTTACACAAAGTTTCACTACTTTAATCTGTGGAGAATATCTGAGTCAGCTCTTTTTCAATTACAGAAACAGGAAAAGTGCAAAAGAATCAAATTATTTTGAACTTATTAATATTGTAGACAGCAGCATTTACATTGTGATATTAAACTGGAGACTTAAATGAAAAAAGTGCTTTGCTTGTTTGCAGTAGTTGGAAACAGAAGATAAAGGAAAAGTACCTGTCCCAGTATTTCCATGACCACTGGCACCACTCCGTTCTCCTTGGTGAAGCCCTGGAAAGACATGTTTCTGGCAGACCTGCTGGTGGAGATGAAGACGTCTCCGCTGGCTGTTTCAAAGGCGACATACTTCATGTCGGGTCTCACCCAGCAGTTGGTCTGTCCAAACATGGTTTCTGGTCTCAGAGTGGCAGCTACCAGGAAGATGGTTTTGCCTTTCATGCCGCTGTGGGGAAAATAAAAATAAAAACAGGATTTCTTCCTTAAAGGTACACATCAATTTTAAATTAGATTAAAATTATTTTGTGTCTATTTAAAATGAAGAGTAAGCTTAATATTCACATTATTTATTGGTGAAAACTTTGAGAACAGGAAAAAAGGATCTTTTTGGGCTTAAAAACTGTGCGTGTCACATTAGTTATCCCAAATAAATAATAAATGGAACAGAGTTAAACAGTTATGACCAGTTACCTGCTATAAAAGACTTTAGATTTGAATTTTGCCGTGTATGGTTCAACAATTTTCATCTTGATGAGTGTATACTCCTGAGGTCCAACTCCCTGAAAGAGATGTCTAAATGTTAGGAAAAAAATCAACCAGTAACAGCTTTTGAATCACCACAGCTGTTTAACTCAAAATGTGAAAAATAATTAAAAGTAAAATAATTAGTTAATAAAATCATATAGGTTCACAAAGAATTCTCATTTGGTCATGAGGTAAATTCCTAAAGAAAATCAGCAATCCAGTATGGTAGAATATAGAGCTCGACTGATATATCAGTAGGGCGATAATTTATGCCGATATAGACATCTGGGGACCTACCGTATCACGATAATTGTTTCATTATGCGCCGATATAAGCACTTCTAATTTTCATCCCTACAATGCTGGGAGCCAGCCATAATTGTATAATATATCCTGCAGAAGGTGCATGAAGATTACTTTCAAGTCATGGCCGTTCACTTAAGTTTCACATTCAGCACAGCTGAAGCAGGGAGCATTACTGTGTGTAGCGGATTGTGCTGAACAGAGCATTGTAAGTTTATTTTAACTGATCTGGAAAACAAATCAACAATAATAAATTCTCTTCAATCCTCCAACCCGCTTGTCATTAGCTACATGCAAGCTAACATTTAGATAACCTAGCAGAGCTAGACTATTGCCATGCAAAACTTTACCCAGAACAATAAATCTAACAGAGTAAATATATATCAGTGTTGGTAACATCATCTTTGTCGTTCTCATTGAAATGCATTGTTTGTCTGAAATTTGTACTTCTCTGCAAAGAAAGAAAAAAAACACTGCTGCGGTCAATATTAATTAGGGAACAGGGAAGGGTGTTTCTTTGTTTAAGTTATATTTTTGTAACATACTTGATAACTTTATGGTGAATAGTGGAGGAAAGAAAACGTGAACACATGTTCGGAAGACGTTTTTTATGACCAGTGCACCACTTTTAAACCTAGTGATCTGATTTGCTTAGCTTCATGGTTGCTAACAGTCACGCTTAATAAACAATCCCCACCCCACTCGCTGTTTATTTAGATTCTTGGGGGTGGACAAAGCTCAAAGATTTGCAGCCATTATATTGGTTATTGGCATCCGCCTACCCCCGATAGCCAAAATTTTCACATTGGTCAGGCTCTTGTAGAATATTCTAGAACGTTGTTTTCACCCCAAAACTGTCCATAATAATAATCCATTTAACATGTAATATTGTACAATTTGAACTTTACACAAAACTAGATAAGTCTACCTCTCCAGTTTGCCTGTCATGGTCCATGCATGGCTGTCCATCCTTGGGAGAGTAGATGGTATACCTACAGAAGTTACATATTGTTCACGTTAGACTGCTACAAAAAACTCAATGTATTATTCAAGTCAATTGTAAAGGATATTTATCTTTACATTCACCTTTTGCCAAACTTGATCTTCTTTCTCTCTTTCAGTGTGACAAAGTGCCACCTGACGAAGGAGTCGTAGAAGGGGTTCACATCAGTGGTGATGAACGAACGCCTCCAGTCAACCTAAGAAATAATAATATAGCTTCAATAAAAAAAGTCAACATTACATGTGAATTGAAAATGTGTAATAGTGATTTCTACTGAGTTCCGAGAGTGCTTCTTGTTAAAATGACTGATAATTGTACTCGGTGACAAAGCATGAGTACTCTAAATCCAGTCAGACAGAAACAAAACTAAATAGATTAAAAACACAGTTGTGTGCTAACTCAATTATATTTTATTACCTTGACTCCCATCTGTTTGAGGTCCTTAACTGCCAAAGGAGGGAAGTACTCAAGCCAGTGTTCAGCATTGGCAAACTTGGCAATTTCCTGATCATTTAGGCCTAAAGACCTCATGATGTCCCACTGGAAAGTGGAGGACCCAGATTTGGCCACTGCTTTACTCTGACAAAAGAAATGAAATGTTAAGGAATGTTGGTTATATATTTAGAAATATTGTAGTTTGTCCGGTTGGGGATGTTTGTACTTGTCATTTTAATCTAATAACACTCATACAGACTCAACTCGGGTAATATACATTTAACTTGTAGTTTTCTATTAGATGTTTTTTTATCAAATCCCACGATGTTCAGAGTGAAAACTTGACTCAGGTTTCAGATCCTAACCTTCTTGCCCTTTGCTTTGTCTTTGATAATGATTTCATCAAACAGCTTTGGCTTCTCCTCCTTCTCCTCCTCCTCCTCATCGGGAAACTGTGGAGGGTTTCCATACAGCTCCATTTCTCTCTTCAGCTTGTCTGAGCAGGCCTGACAAAAACAAAGAGGTTCAGGAACGTTATGAACTTACAGGCACGGTGTTGCAAGCTAGAATTTATTTAAAGGCAAGAAGTTAATACCAAAGATGCATTTTATTTATTTCAAAGAATAATGTGCACCAATTATATTTAAATGACTATTCAATAGCTGAATTTCATTCGTTGTCCTTACACAAGTAAAAAAAATAGAAACAGAACAAGTGCACAAAAATACAACAACCGATAAACAAATTGATAAAATAAAAAACATACAAAACACCACAATCTACAAGCTGCACAGTTAAAATAAGTAAGATAGCTATTGAATGGCGATAAACTGTGCACAACCTTAAAATGGGTGTGATGTTAACATATAGCGATTCTGTAAAATTACCTAAAATACAAAAATTTGTTCTGGCTATTGGTGATTTTTTTTCAGTACTCCATTACTACTCAGTTTCTTTTTGATACCAATCGTGGTTTCGAATGTCATGAGGGGGGAAAAAAGTGCAGTATAAGATACAGTAACTCTTTACCAATTTCATGTGGTGACAAAACGCAGAACAGTTCACTTAAAAACTATCGTGCGGAGAATGAGACGGTTTTCTTTCATTTGTATGAACAATGTTAAAAATGCTTCTGCTGTTGTTTACCCATTAAAAACCTGCACACAGACAAAATTACAGTCATCCATCTCAGCATTCACGAGGATGAGGAGCCAGTCTTGCAGAATTACTGAGCTGAGAGCTGTATTGAACTCCATCAATCACAAAATATTTGTCTTTGTAAATCCGATAAATAACCTCTGAGGATGTTGGTTAATGCAGCCCAGCTGAATCACATTTCAAAACAAATGCAGCCTACACATCCAGACAGGTTTATCCAGACTGCCAGACGAATACGACTTCACATATCGTTGTGTGAATGCTTGCGTTTGCCAATTTAAAACAATGTGTGGCTTCTGTGTTTATTCAAATTTTAACTGTGTAAAACTATTAATGGGTTACAGTGTTTCCCCTAGGTTACTTGCCTTGAGAGGGCACTCATCAGCGTTTGTCGACCCATGGTGGTGGTGGGGGGGGGGGGGGGGCGTTAGCAGAGGGGTACATTTGTAATGTAGGCAGTTGTCAACAGTGGGGGGGGGGGGGGGGGGAGTTATAGTGAAGCATTACGGTACTAATGCTACTGTAGGTCTGAGCTGCACATGTTCTGAGCTTCTTTAGAGAATTTATCATATAATTTTCTTAATTACCGGTGACATTCTACATGTTGTGTTTGTTTAGTGGTTCTCAAACTGTGGGGGCAGGTCTGTGTCGCTGAATTGTTTTTAAATTTATTTTTCCTCCACTGACATGTAGCAGGCAGAACTAACGTCGTCATGCCTCGTTGCAGCATAAACCTATTTTAGGGACGCACAAAACATATTACCATAATTGTTATTTGTCTCCGTAACAAAGTGTAACATGGGAAAATAAAGTATGTTATTGCTTAAATCAAATGTTTCAAATGAGGATAGCTAAAGTGAGTTAATAAGTGTTATTTAATTTAATTAATGTGGGGCGGCTGTGGCTGAGTGGTTAGAGAAGTCGTCCTCCAATGCAAGAGTTGGGGGTTCGAATCCATCAGCAGTCACATGTCGAAGTGTCCCTGGGCAAGACACTGAACCCCTCATAGCCTCTGATGTGTGTCCCATCAGTGTATGAATGTGATAAAGCTCTGATTAGTCTCATTAGAATGATTTGTTCAATTAGCTTTGTACAGATCTAGTAGAGTGCTGTATGAATGGGTAAATGAGGCACAGATTGTAGTGTAAAGCGCTTTGAGTATCTTGAAATAAGACAGAAAGGTGCTATATAAGTGCAGTCCATTTACCATTTAATTATTTGGTGAAAGATATGAAGGAGATGTCCGTCACACATTTAATGTGTTGAAGCTCCAAGTCAACCCAGCTGAGGTGAGTTGTGTTCCTCGCCTCGATGCTCGCTTTGTTTCAAGTTGCTGTGGGACGAGTTAAATTTATTTATTTGGCATTTATTTTACAAAGAGAACAATGTTTGAGAACCAGTTCTCATTTACAAACATGACCTGGACAAGAAGTGTTGCGTTTTGGGAGCTGACTGCAGGTCGTCAGTCACTGCAGCTAGCTACGGCTAGCTGTGGGCCTCTGGCTTCCTCTCTGACCCTGGACCCTCAGCCAGCCCCCACCGCTTCCTCTGGTTCTATCTCACTCAGAAGTGGCAACTCATACTATCAATAAATCAATGAGACGTCAATTAAGTTTTATCAATTATATTAAAAAAGGCAGGAGAAGATTACAGCTTTAAAACGCTGGACTCTCCGGATTGTGACGCGTTCACAGACCCGGAAAAGCCGCGATGTCCTGTGTCATTACTAATTTATAGGGCCCTAAAGACTCCACCTTCGCAGAAGGGGAGCTCAACCTGTCAGTGTATGAGGGGGCGTGGCTAAGTGTGGTCTTATGTGGACTGACGTGTTGGGAAAAAATGAGACGGTGCTTCAAAGCCTTTCTACGTGATGTGGCAAGCAGATTAAACTATTTGAATGATATTGAAATCCCAGGGAGACTCTCTTAAGAGTTTGCTGGCCCAGTTTAACCCAGTCAGAACCGGGTCATAATTTCATTATAATCCCATCTCTGAGCAGATCTAAACCATAGGACCAGTCTAGATTAAAAATATCTTAACAGAAGTGTTGTTCCTGAAAGTGTTCGGGAGCACACACAGCTGCTTTAGTTCTTGGGAGTCAGATAATATTAACACTAAAAGCTGTATATTTGTTTGCTGAAGATTGCAGAAAATGCGTGCCTCTGTTGAACTTTTTTCTTCAAAACTCACAATGTTGTTTGAGTAAAAGTGTCAGTTTTTTTGTGGTTTTAGCTTGTCATGAATATCTGCAGATTTGAATACTACATAAGATTAAAGAAAAAAAGATTTTGACGATCTGGATGCACTAAGCTGGTTTAAATTTGAAACCACACCATGACATAATTGTACTGTGATAAATGTCATGTTTTTAATGATCATAAATGTAATTTACAATTTTTGCAATGATTCTGCTGAATTTGTCTGGTTTGCCTGTATTTTTCCAGTCATGCAGTTATTATATGTGTAAGTACTTTTAGCCATACAAAAAGGCATAAAAAGCATTATATTAAAATATAACAACCCTCATAATGTGGTTTTTCCTTTATATACCTTTGCTATATTCAAAAGGGTGACATAAAAAAAATATATAGCACAGGTAAGTCAAAATAACTTGTTTGCCAGATGGGTAGACCTCTGCCCTAAAATCACTTTATTTCACCCAAAGGAATTAGATTAAAAGATATCAGTTTGCATAGTGGCTACTTGGGTATTTTGAGCATTGTTAATGTTTGGGAGCCCAGGGCTGAGAGCATGCACAGTTTTTTTCTCCAATGTGAGGGCCATAAAAAAAAAATGGTAAACCTCTATTAGTTAAATTAAAAATATATACAAGACTGTGTCAGATTTTAGATTGTCACACAAACTTGAGACACATCTTTTGGTAGCAGTTATAGCGACAGCAGATTTATAATGCAGTAACATAATGTACATATTTCTCATGCATAACGTACCAAGAAGACGGCACACTTACCTTGATCGGCATCCCTGTGCAGTGCAGCCCAAATGGAAAGAGGCATTTCTTCCCCTTCAGAGACTGGTAACCAACAGCAAACTACAAGAACAAATGAGAACAGGAGAGGCTCAGAGGAAAGGTGCAACAAGCTCAGAATACGGTTATGTTATAAAGTTTTGAAATGCCAACACCTTTTGGGTTTATCACTTCAACTAATTGATGAACGTATTAATGAGGCTAACTTTGGAATTAAATATGATCCACATAATGGATGTTCATGTCGATTAACAATAATCTTTAATTATGTTGCAATCAACAATTTACCAATGTTTAAAATCTGAGACCTTCCATCGTTGTCGTGTTTTGTTTTTGAAGTCAGTCCAATTCAATGTATTTAAGTTCAGCTGCGTTGCGTTTATATCAGTGGATATGTTTGTATTATGTACTGTACATGTGTAAAATGAGGCAATTTCTCTGTGTTAATCTCTGTTTACTATGCAAACTCACCTCGCACTTTGACAAACTGAACGTATGGCCAAGATGCAATCGGCCGTTCATATAAGGGTACGGAAAGGTCACAAAGTACTTGTTTTTGCTGGAAGGGGAAAAAAATGATTAATTAATCGATTAGTGGATTGGTAAGCTACAGAGTAAGACGTCTAAAGTCTCATTTAAAAGTTTTTGATAAACTTTTTTGTTGATAAACTTTAGCAAGAAATGCTGTAACAGGTAGAGCAATTGTTTTAAACCTAAATAAACGGAGTGTTTCAGATTGTAAGGCAAGTTTTCAAAAGCTAAAGTCTTCAAAATGACATCAGCTACTCACTTGGAGCTCTCTCCAACAGTTGATGGTGCATCACTCTCAAATGCTCTCTCCTTCTCCCATTTCTCTTGAATTTCTAATTCAATCTTTCTCAAAAAGTCCAACTTCGCAGTTCCTTTTCGTTCCTTCAAAACAATGAATGTCATACAGTTACTGACACTGTATCATTGGTAGAAAAATCAGCATCTGAACTGTATACAGATTATTATTTAACAAACAATAGAACCATCTTTCTAGTCCATAGCTGTTTCGAGCGCTCATGCTAGCTCTGACTTAGCTATAATAACTATAATAAGTTAATATATTAAAATAGAGATCGATGTTTATGATTAAACACACGGAGCTTTTAAAGTGATTAACTTACCGTCATTTTTTCTAAAAGTTGTTTTTTATTTGCTGTTTGTAAGAGAAGAGAATGCAGAAATGTTTTCCACTATGTCAAAAGGAACCCACGCCACCGGTGCCTTGATGATGACACCAGCAGTCAGCTTTACCGCAGTGATTCCTGGGAAATGTAGTCCGTGTTTAATATTTACGCGCCACGTCAAAAGTTGCCAAACAAATCAACATTGTGATTTGAATCTGTTGCCTTTATTTAACCTTAAGTGTTTGTTTTTAGTTTAAAAAAAAAAAAAACAATAAACCCGCTTGTGTTATTTTAATTAGTCGTTTTTTTTCACGGATCTCCCGCTTTACGACACCTCGACTTTGTGTTGCCATGCCGTAAATTGTTTTGCTCGACCTGCCAGAAGAGCGACAGAAGGCCTTAAAGCTTATTAATATATAGACGATGAACGTAGGGTTGGCAAAACGCGCTTACTCCGTATAGACGATTTTACAGTTTTTCTCACGATGATCATAGAAAATGTCGAAGCTTTGAAGTCGTGGCTGGCAAAACTCCTGGAGCCAATGTGAGTGTTGAACTGAAATGACGATTTAGCTTGTGTGCTACGTTGGTTAGCAAGCCAGGCATCAATGGGGGTGTGCTAAAATCAGATGGCCGATTCTTACACGAGCTAGCCAGCCATTGAACCCGCTAGCTGGCCTTTACTTGAAGAGAGGGTTAACTTTGCAAATACTTCTCAGTTTGCAAAAGCGTAGAAATGTATACTGTTATTTAGATGTATACGCTTGTTTCATTAATATATATATACATATTATATAATATACATTGCAGCACTTATCAGATATAAAGCTTTTGTGGTTTATCAATTTGTGGTTTTTGTGCTGCATCCATCTTTGCTAAGTTAGCTCTCTCAGTTACCATAGTTACACGTTTTCTTTTAACGTTAAGCTTATCTGCTATTTAATGTTTTTGGACGCACGCAGAGGTCTCATAAATATCTCACGCAGCAGAATGAATTAATGAAATATTAATGAAATGAAAGACCTAGGAGGGATTAAAAGTTGTGCATTTCTTTCTCCCAACTCAAATATCATCGTTTTAACGTTGTATTTTAGTTATTTTTAAAAACACAAGAGTTTTTAATACTATTAGGGCAAACTTTACATTTTAATTGTGCAAGCAAGCAGTTATCTATTAATTAATAGTGTAAGTGGAGCATAAGATGAGACAATTTATTTTTGTTTTTGTTTGTTTTCTCATGATGCCAAGCAACAAAACTGTTTTAAATTCATGGGGAAAGAACTAGCAGGTGATTGTTGGTGGCATTTATTTTTTCAATTACTGTATTTCTCTTCATTTCATCAACAACTTAACCCAAAAAAGTTTGATCTCTCAGACAGCTCCACACTTTAAATGTGATTGTATGGACAACAAACCTGCTCCTCCCTATCTGCTCTAATAGACTGATTGATAGACTGATCTAGAATGATTTATAAGTAAAGACGATCATATATTTTTGAAGTATCTTTAGGACCAAACACTTATCACACAACATGAAGGCGATAATTGATTTTCCTTTCTTGAGGCTAAATAAAATATTTATCAGTCTATTGTAATATTTCTGTGTTAGGCCGTTTACAAGTCAAATTTATCGGTCTTGCTAGCAAATGTTCTGTCTTCCAAGCTATAGTTTGGTTTAGTTTTAAAATTTGAATATTCAAACAGCAATGGCACATTACAAATTGCAGTCACAGTGAATATAGACTTGAGGTTTATAGTTGTGTTTTTCCCTTGTATATTATGAAACAATGGCAAACTCTTGCATTTTCCTTTGTAAACTATATTTCAGGTGCTCTCTCTGAGTGAACTGAAACTTAAGTGTGTATTTATTTTGTCGTGCAGATGCGATGCTGACCCCTCTGCACTGGCCAACTATGTGGTGGCTCTTGTCAAAAAGGACAAACCGGAGAAGGAGCTGAAAGCTCTTTGTGCTGATCAGCTTGATGTCTTTCTTCAAAAGGGTAAGAACGTCACATTAAGCTCTTTTTGTTGCCATATTGACAACGATAATAGCTTTTCCTTGTCAAGAGAGTTTGCGCAAAAGGTTTTCTGCTGCTTGAAAAGGAAAAGTCTTTATTTTACACTCCTTAGGGTTAATAAGGAATGGATTATTCACTTGGACTGTGTTAAAAACAGGAATTCTGGAATAAATTGATGAGAAACCATAGTTGATTATTTATCATGCAGGCTTAAAATAAATCTGTTTGTTCAGAAACAAATTCAAGTAGGGGTGCACCGATTGCAGTTTTCTGGCCGATCACCGATTTCTAAAAAGTCTGACCTGCCGATTCTGATTTTGGCTGATGCCGATTGTTTTAATTCAATTCAATTCAGAAATACTTTATTAATCCCAAAGGGAAATTATTTGTTGTTGTAACTCGTTATCCTCATTTCATTAAGAGATGGTATGGATACTGATGGTTGTAGGCAGGAAGGATCTCTTGTAAAGGTCCATCCCACAGTGGATCCTAAGGAACTGGTTGCAGATCCCGTCCGATCCGTCCACCCAGACTCAGCTGGCCTCTTGGTTCCCCTGGGCTGTTGGACCGCCCGAAAGCCAGGCAGAACTCCTCCCAAAGCGATGGCCACTCCTCCCAGCAGTCTGCCGAGCTCCTCGTCGCTGTGGACAGCCAACTGTAGGTGCTGAGGGACGATCCTGTCCTTCTGTTGTCATGAGCCGTGTTTCCTGCTAGTTCCAGGATCTCAGTGGTCAGGCACACGAGCACAGCTGGCAGGTAGATGAGAATGCATCCACAGATCCTCCTTTTCAACTTATTTGAGATTTGGGGCTGTAGTTGAGATATTATTTGAGCTTTTGAGATGTCAATCAGCTGCTGTTGGTTGTAGAAAACTGCCTTGTTGTCATGGTTACGCATCATAACAAATGTCCAAAACTAAAAAAGTTTCAGTAAAATTCCTTCCAGCTGCACAGCATCTGATACCAGAGGAAACAATCATCCAAAAAATGTACTTTACATACAGAAAAAGAGGAATTAAAGTTTCCAAAAGCAAAATCTCAGAATGAAAGAAACAGAGCTGCTCCAACATGCAGCCACCTTGAGCGGCGCAATTCTAGAATATAAATGAAGATGATAATGAAGATGATGGTAATGAAGATGATAATATAAATGAAGTTCAGACAATTGTTGTTGAAACGTTTTATTTTTAAATCTGTAAAATCGGTTTCTCATGTAAGTATCGTCCGATTGCCCAAAATTAAGGAAATCGGGGCTGATAAAACGGCCGTCCGATTTATCGGTGCACCCCTAAATTCAAGGCGTACAAACCTTACCAGCAGTAAGACTCAACTGATCTTTACACAAAGTTTATTAAAGTTGTAGCTTGGCATAATTTAGGGTTAAATGCATAAAATTTAACACATTTTAAAAATGTGAATTTATTTATTTGTTCTTCTTTACAGCAGCAATTACCAGAGAGTTTTTAGAAGTAGTATTTGTTACTAAGGTATAGTTTAACTGGACTGCTCTGACAGAGGAACTTTTGTTTTTTTTAATGGCAACAAGATCATCTAACACCAGTTTGTTTGTTTTTTTGGGGGGGGGTTTTTATGAAAGAGACACGTGTGCCCTGAGACGACTTCTGTTGTGATTTGGCGCTATATAAATAAACTGAACTGAACTGAATTGAACATGTTGTTCTTCTTCAGTGTGACCAGCAGAGAGAGGGTTCCATTATTGAAGAGTACCTTTCTATTTATTACATGGATCAACATGTTTGAATTGAGTTGTGCTGTAGTTTGCTTGATGTCATTTTATTTTTATTTATTAAATAACATCAGCATGATCATTTACCGTTTGTTCAGATCACAATCTTTATATGGCAGTATGAAAAAAAATTGTTTTTGAGAAGAGGCATGTCTCTATAACTTTTATTTTCAAGAGTAAATGCTTATTAACGAGAGTGAACAAAACGCACTGGACTTTCGTATATGCTGGTTTTAAAATTTAATTTTGTGTTTTTATTTGGACACGTTCTAATTAAGCAGCTTTCCACTCTTTCGTGCCGGTTCTGCTCGTTTGTGTGCTGCTTATTGTTTAGAGATGAAAAGAGGATTATTTATTTGCATAAATTGAAACGGCAGGATATTTATTGCTTTTCATCCTTGGAGGCAGTTTTGCTTTTTGAAGATGTGTTAAATCTGCACAAAGTGATGAAATGGAGAAATTGTTGATGTTTTTTTTTTTTTTTTGCTACTTTTGCAGAGACTATGGGTTTTGTCGATAAGCTTTTTGAGTCTTTGACAACAAAGAACTACCTGGGAATACCTGTTGTCAAGGAACCTCCAAAAGAAGAGGTTAAACCGCCTGCAGTCAAAACTGATGTTGAGGTAAGAAAAGTTGAGTCAAGCTTTAAAACTACTGTTCTGAGAAGAGCAGTCTGTTTTCTCTTTATGCTTTGGATCAAATTGTTGGGTTCAAATGTTTTTTAATGTATTTTTATGCAACATAATCATTGTCTCCCTCTAGACTGAAACTCCAGAGGAGGACAGAGAAAACAGGCGCAGGAGAAGCCCCCTGAGAACCCGCTCTGACTTCAATGACTCCAGGTACGGCTGTGGCTTCAAGTTCTTCAGTTCTAAACCTCAGGAGCTCTGCTGCTAGCACGATGAAGGCTCTGGTGTCCGCGAACTTGTCTCTTAGACTGATCATTGCGATGTCTGAACAATAATTTTAAACATTAAAAATACCATTGTGCACATGTGACATTACAAGGTGTCAAGCACAGATATGTGCTGTGAAATAGGCCTGTCACGATAACAAAGTTTGCTCGACGATTAATTGTCTCAGAAATTATTGCGATAAACGATCATATTGTTTGAAATTTGACAATAATTAGTAATTATTGTCAAATTTAAGAAGAAATGTTTGTTACATTTGTTTTGTGTGTAGTAACTTTTTTGACCACCGGATGGCAGTTTGAACTGAAGGATGGATAGTGAGGGAGCGAGCAGCGTGTCTCTTTAAGAAAATAAGAAAAATGGGAGGGAGGCCTTGATGTGACGTGGGCTGTCTTTCCTTCCTTTTTTCGGTTCTCAAAATGGCGGATGCTCGGTGTGGTTTGAGCTCTTTGGCATAGCATTTTTCACACAAAGCTTTTAATTTAAAACAATCAGTAAACAAGTTCTCAGCTTCTTTCAGGTTTCAACCGTGAATTTTGGAGCTTTGACAAGACGGAGTTTTTTTCCTCAAAGTCGGCCTGTTAGCTTAGCTCGTAGCTTAGCTTCTCAGCTTAGCTGCTTTTAATGATCCAAAAACAAGATTTTGGATGATTAAAATGGATTTTAAAGCGAAAGGGAGGGGGTCAGAGAGGGACGCAAAGAAACGATAAATCTGATAAATGAAAATTGTTGACCTCATTTTAATTTATCATGCAATTAATTGATTTATTGGTTATCGCGACAGGCCTACCGTGAAAGACTCGGCTACTACCATAGCAAGTTTTAGCTCAATATCTCAAATATTGATTGAATATAACCATTCTTGTGTTTGCTAAAGTTGATTAGCTGTAGCAGCCATCTTGAACTGGGTTGACTCCAAATGTTGTTGTTTTTTCATATAATTTTGCACCCATTGAATATTTCCTCAAGGTTTCATTCAAATCTGTCCACTGGTTCATGAGATATTTTGCTAACCGACACATGAACCAACACATGCGAAAAACATTATTGTCCCCCTTTGTCTTTGATGGTTGGTGATAATAAAACAATGACCTCTTTTTGCCACAAGTGTGCTTTTTTTTTGGTTCAGTACAGTCAAAAATAATGGAATTGTTTTTAAGAGACAATGACGGAACACATAATTAGAATCTATATCTGTTTGATAGTGATTAGGACCTACATTTAGCTGACGTGTTGGTAACCTGCCCGACTGTTGTTTTTAAATCAGGCTCAGAGATATAATTTAAACGTCGTCTCCGACTCACCCACACAGGAGCCGCGACGACAGGAGGCGGGATGAGCGCAAGCGGCGTGACTTCGAGCGGCACGGGAAAAGCTGCGCCGAATCCCATCGTGAGCGAGAGCGCCACGAGCGTCGCAGGGCCAGCCCCCGCGGGAGGAGCTACAGCAGGAGCCGCAGCAGGAGCAGGAGCGGCAGCCGAGGAAAGAGCAGGGACCGAGAGCACAGAGGGGGCAGAGGTGAGAGAGTAACGACAGCACAGGGGAGCAGGCTCAGGTGTGTCGGAGCTGCCGGAGCTCGCGTCTGCATTAGTGATGCAGGAGCTCTGTCGGGAACAACCTGGGTGTGAGCTCATTTGGATTGTTTAACGGAGACGGAACTGGTTTTGTTGTTGGATTAAGTATTATTGAACGTAAACAGAAGGAACAATGTGGACAACTTTGCAGTCACATCATTGGGGATTCAACAACATGGGTTGGAACTGGCCTTATTACCAAGGTTATTCTGATATAATGAAAGAATGTGTTAATTTGACCTTTCAAATTCTGCAGTGATCAATTCTTTTACATGTAATACATTTTACAGATGTCTTTTCTTACCTTCAACAGAGTTCAAGCCCAAATTTGATGTGGAGAGAAAAGATACAGAGAGCTACAACGCTTCTGTCATACCCGGCTCTCAGCAGCAGCACCCGCCACCTCTCGTCATGCCCCTTCCCACAGTTCCACACCCGTTCCCCTCTTCTTCCTCATCCAGCGGAGTTCCTGGAGCTGGAGGGGTTCCTGTGGCGACACCCGCTCACCTGCCAGACAGCACTACAGACAGCTGGTCGAACTACTACAACGCTCCGAGGCAAGACGGTGTCGGCAAGCCCTTCATCAACAAGAGCGTCCCCCTCAAGCAGCGCTGCAGGGATTACGACGGTAAAAGCAATGTTTAGATTTTTTTTTTTTTTGGTTTGCTTTAATTGAACTGGGCTCAAACGTTTTTGTGGTTCCAGCTTTAGACCTTTTTTATTTGTTAAAACCAAATGGTGTTTTAAATTTAAAGGTTATGGTGATATCTCTGCACAAAACAAATGACGGCAGCCATTGTGAAGTTCGCTTTGGCTAGTTTGTTGTTTTCCCACGAGAGTTTGGTGCCTTGAGTCTCTTCACTAATGACCACTGTTTAGCACTCGTGTCTTATGTCTCCAGTGAAAAGGCAGCAAAGCAAGCAGGTTCTATCTACACAAAAGCACAAGAGAGTTTAAACTTATCCCACTGTCCCTGAAGTGCACTGCTGTGATGGTGTTCAGACACTAGAGACCCAGTGTCTTAATGAGACTGTGGAGTAAATATGTTACTGTAGGTGCTTTCAGCTTCAGTTTTGGTCTCATTTAAGTTCTTTTAATTTGTGTGTAAAAGTTTTGTTGATAAGTTACAAAACCTATAAAAACAGGTTGTATACTCGAGTATAATTAAAAATAATCACAATTTAGTAATACTTCAAAGTAACTCTCATTTTGTTTCCTTTTCTCAACCAGAAAAAGGATTTTGTGTCCGCGGCGACCTTTGTCCGTTCGACCATGGCAACGATCCTCTCATCGTTGATGACGTCAATCTCCCAAATATAATTCCATTCCCACCCCCTCCTGTTATGCCTCCCACCGGGTTACCCATGCCTCCGATCACCGAGCCACCCCCCTCCCTCAGGATGCCATCGATGCCACCGTACGGCCAGCCACCGCCACCAGGTGTCTTTTCAATGACAGGTGAGTGTTGCTGTTTGACGTATTAAAGGCAACCTGTAGAAACGGTGCAGTCTGCTGTCACTTCAGTGACCAGCCTTAGGTCATCTTACTAGTTTATTACATTATTTAAGAGCTTATACACTTGAGGTGGTTTTGCTTTGTGTGCCAGGCCTGAGTAAGATTGTCTGCACTTCGCCACTGGTCTGCCCTCAACCTTTTCTTCCTCATTATGCCATCGCAATGTGACGACATAACGAGGAAGAACAATTGAACCTTTTTATGCTCACAGTAGAACAATTGAGTTCAGGATTTTATTCATACTAAGTTGCATTTTTGTGGTAAATGCCTTGTTTGTGCACTGTTAGTAATCTTGTGGTACTTGGCCCTGGGCCACCTCCAGAACACAAAACACTGAATCAGTCCCACTGATTATATAGTAAAATTGTTTTAAAATACTGTTTACTAGGGCTGGGCGATATCTTGATATTTAACAAACATATTGAGATAATTTCATACGCGATATAAAACTAAGACTCGATAAAAAAACGATATAGTCTCATACTCTACGTAGAGCATATGTGTCAAACTCAAGGCCCGGGGGTCAAATGTGGCCCTCGCTGACATCGTATCTGCCCCCCAAAATGTTGTTTTAAATGTAAAATACTTTTATCACTTTATTTTTTTCAGTAATCTTTGATTATGATGTCAAAAGTGCAACAGAGAACGTCAAATGAGACCAATCAAACTCTTGTTGAGAAACCTGCGACCAAGAAAAGTTGTCTGGTATCTAACTTGTGTTAATGCAGATTCTGAAACCGGCCCTTAGTTTGAAAAAGGGTCTAATTTTGGCCCCTTTTTGTAAGTAGGTTTGACACCCCTGACGTAGTTATAATTATACTTGAAAATCTGCCAGTTTTTCTCCCAGTCTGCACCTTCACGTGCCCCCCCCCCCTCCTCCTCTCCCTCACTGAACACAAACCCAGCCCCTCACCCGCTCCCCCCAGCTGTGTAAAACTGCGTGCTGCTGCAGCTCCCACTGCGAACAAGCTACATGCACATGCAGATATCAGTCGTCACAATAGCTGTTGACTCTCAGTGCAGACACTCTGGTGACATGGATGTAAATTCCTGATGTGAAAATGACTGGGTGGCTGCTACAAAGGAGAGGTTTGGTGTTCTCCAGGACATTATAACTGGTTTAGAGCAGCAAGGTATGAAGTTGTCTTCTCATCAAAGAACACTAAGATGGATATCCAGTTTAGAGTGATTTATTTGCTGTGTTTCTTCTGGTATTTACACACGGCGGTAACCAGTAAAGCACAAACAAGCTTGAACGACAAGGATCCGTCCGTGTCGAGAGAGACAAAACTCCACAACGCAGGACATGCAGCGCGGCACTTTACACAGAGAGGTGCGTTCAGTAACATTGGAACAGTCACGGTGCATTCAAGAGCATAGGAACCATGAAATTTAGAAATCAACAAGCCGTAACCAAACAGAGCCGAGCTCAGTAAACATGTCAACCGCACAGCAACGTGGGCTTTTAACAGCTTTGTTAATAAAGGGTATTAAAGGGTGAATGAATAGACTTCATTAGAATCAGACTTTTTAAAGAGCAAGTCAGCCTTTCATTATGTTTGCTCCGTATGTTTTCTGTTTAAATTTTAAGTGCACAGCTGTGTTTGTGTTATGCAGGGAAAAAACAACAACTTATTTTTGAGACATTTCTTTTGTACAGTTACAGCTGTTTGTTAATAAATGTGCCTGTGTGACAATTGGGACAAAGCTTAGACTCTGAAATATATTTTTATTACTCTGTACTGGTACAGAGAAGTCAAGTTTATTTTTACACATTATGTTGAATGTTTAGTGGTGTTTCTATTACAAATCTCCTGTGATTTAAGGTGAATGGTAACTTACCTGAAATTAAATAACCTCCTTTGGCTGGTATAACTCATACAGGTTGTGTCAGTGCAAATATATTGTATCTAAATATATAAATATTTGTGTATAAATAAATTGAATTGTTATCCTGGTAGTAGAAAACTTGCGATCATGAGGTTGCTTTGCACCAACCTACTTTGCAGAGCAACTTCTGCCTTTGGATTCTCCTTATGTGACGTTTAGTTCCCACACTCTGTCTGGTAAAGAACATCCATCCATTATCTTGACTCGCTTCTTCCTTTTTGGGTCACGGGGGTCACTGGTTCCCAGGTCCAGCAGTTACTGAGAGGCGGGGGACACCTGAACATGTCCCAAGTCCATCACAAGGACACAGAGTCAACCATTCACACGCACTCACAACTAGGGACAATTTAGAGTTTGTCTGATTTAAAATAATCATTCAAAATAAATCACCTGTGGTGTCATTGAGTCATTTATCACAAAGGTTTTTGTTTCTGTATATAGATTTCATAATATAACAAAATAAGAAACCATTAGGGGGGTTGCCTTGTGATCAAAATGTATGACTCTTTTGTACTTACTAATGGCTGAAACTATTCAAATGCTTTTTGTTGCTTTGTGAACACATGCCTCCTCTACACATTTTTTAATCAATTAAAGGAGATAGCTGCTTAAACATAAACTGATTGTTTGCAGTGATTAATGTCATCTATAGATTAATGGCTGCATTAAATGCATGTTTGTGCCAACTCTGTGTAGAATGAAACTATTAGCCGTTTAGAACAAAGATTGGGCTTGTGTCTCCCTCAGGACCCCCACTGATAGTAACCAGTGGGATCGATACCCCCAACCACCAAACAGCAATCACTTCTTCTCCTCCTCTCGGACCACCAGGCGTGGGGTTGCCACCTACTCTTCCTCCTCCTCCTCCTCCTCATCCTCAACCTCCTCCTTCAACCTCATCTGTGTCTCTTCGCCCTCAATATGTCCAGTCTGAATGTAAGCAGAAATGCTTTTTCTGTTCAGATTGGGACCTTCTGGCTCCTTTTTTTTTTTTTCCTGCTCGCTATTTTTCTTCTGTACCTTTTGTTTTCTCAGCTGCTTACAGCAAACATATTATTTTGTATGTGCTTACAAAAATTATTCTTTTTAAATAACTGTTAAGTGTCCTGTTGTTTTTGTCATGTGAAGTGACTGTGCAGTTATTGTTGTTGCAGTAACGACTGTAAACCACCAGGTGGTGCACTTCTTTAAGCTAAATGACAACTGTCCCCTAGGATTTTTTTCTATCAAGTACACAGTACTTCTGTTACATTTATAATTTGGCTTTGTAGTTCACTTTGTCAAAGAAATGGTTTATTTTGTAGTTTCATGCAGTAAGCTGTAGCTCACCATCATTATTTTCTTGGACTTGATTTGTATTTCATATTTTATCATTATGCTATATGAACTTATTTTAAGTGTGTGTGTGCGTACTATCATTAAAATGTTTATTTTTTTAGGTACTTCTTTTAAACTTAAATGTAAAGTAGAACACAATCACAAATGTAAACTTGGTGGTCTTTGTGACAAACTGCTTCAACACTTTTAAAGATTTCTTTTAAATATTTTGCCTTTCTAAAAATGTACGTTTTACTCTTTAGATACCTATGATCCAGAGGGCTACAACCCAGAATCTCCAGGCTTGACTGCAGCAGCTCGTAACTCGTACCGCCAGTTCATTCCTCGGGTGCAGACCCAACGCTCTAACCTCATTGGCCTCACGTCAGGCGAGGGACAAGGGTCCAGAGGTAACGGCTGTTTACTACTGTTTAAAAAAAAAAAAAAATCCAATGCTCCTAATTCCTAAATTGTCTTTAATATCATGTCTTTGTTTCGTTTATTTTCTAGCTGCCAACATTGTGATCCAGACAGAACCTGCAGCTGCCTCCAGCTGTCCTGGAAATAATGTGTCATGTTTCAACATCGAGCAGGACAACCGAAAGAGGACACTGGGGCCAAGTACAGCTGAGGGACCTGCAACGAAGAAGCCCTGGATGGACAAGTAATACATCTGAAATTAGAGCTGGACGATAATTCGATATCGATATATCTCGCGATATACTTTTATTCAATAACGATGATATGAGTTTTAAGCACATTTTCGATATTTCAAAATGATTACAGCGTTTCACTGACTCATTTCTTTTTCTGTTCGGGTTGAAGCGGCCACTTCAGTTCCAACCCGGACAGAAAAAGGTGCGACACAACTACGTGAGTGCGTGGTGACGTAAAGTTACGCAGAGCTCAAGTCCAGAAGGCGTTAAGTGGTAGCAGGCTAAGCTAGGCTAATCTCCAACGCGCGTTAAGTTTTCTCTTCAAAATGAGTGCCCATGATTGTCAGAATGTGACTGAACAAGTTTTCAAAAGTGAAAAGCAGATGACATCACTGATATGAGAAAAGACTAATTTGCTGGTTTAGAAGTGTTTCGGCTTTCTTCGATCCGATAAACTGCAGGTTTCAGTCAGTGTGCTGCAAAATGTGACGGAGAGTCGTTCTAACTAGCGTATGGAACATCTGACTTGTTCCACTGGACAGAAGATGATGAGTCACAAGATGAAGCACAATAAAAGTTTGAGCCAACGTGTCCCTGAAACACCCCCAGCGCTGCATGTTTTTTGTTTGTTTGTTTTTATCTTATTCATTCATTTAAAATAAAACAAATTCATCAGAAAGAAGAAAAAAATTCTTATCTGCCCCTAATTTAAAAAATACAAAATGACTACAAACAACAACCTTGACTTGAACAATCTCCAAACTGAAAACAAAAAAACTTCAGGTATCCGTTACCTGGCACTATACTTTCCCAACAACTTTAACTATCATCTTTTTAAACATATAAACTTTAACTATCATCTTTTAAACATAAATTGTTTTAGTAATGTTTATGGTGATATCAAGACAATTCCATAATCCTGTTCCCTGAATTACAACACAGCTCCTTCACACTAGTTCTAAATGTAGGTTTTACAAACATTTCCATTCTCTTAAGGTTATATTGACTCTTTTTTTAATATATTTATTTTTTTACAAATTTTAATTGAATATTTGTGGCTAATATTTTTATGAGCTTTATACTTGACTTATAAAATACTATATTCAATCAAATCATAACATTTTAATAATTTCAATTGATGAAATAATATATTTGTTGGGTGACCATAGCACTTCATACTATTAATAATTCTTAGAGCTCTTTTTTTTGTAAAAAATAGGATTTGTAATTGTTTTGCATGCTTTTCCCCAAACTTCATTACAATAGATTAAATATGGAACAATCATTACATTATACAATATATACAAAGCTTTGTCATTCAAAAACTCTTTTACTTTATACAGGAATGCAATTGATTATTTTTATTTTTAAGTATTTTACATGAGATTTCCACGTCAGCTTCTCATCAATAACGAGACCCAAAAATGTTATTTCATTAACAACAAATTTCAATGCTGTCAATTTTAAAGTTGTTGTTTAAAGTTAAAACTATTAATATTGACAAAGTTGAGAATTTTATGTTTATTTGACAGTGATTTCAATTTTTTGAAGGCTAAATACAAATAAAAGGTGAACATTAGTTTATTTGTATAGTTTGAGTTTTTCTGAGGCTTTTATATTGTTTATATCGATATCGAATTTATATCGTTATCGACCGAAATTAAGCAATATATCGTGATAAAAGTTTTGGCCCTATCTGAAATACATCAAAACTTCAAGGGATTTATTGAATTGACACAGAAATCTTAAACTGGTCATGCATTGATTCTTTTATTGTTTACATGTTGAAATAAACCAGCACGGTGAGCAATTGCTGCATTTTAAAGTGTTAAATTTGCAAACAGCTTGATTTGTTTTTGTTTCTGCTGAGGGAAGCTGTGACAAATTTAGACTCTACTTATAATCAATATTTGAGTTTTATTTGCAGAAACATGAAGGCCAAAAGCTTCAAGCTTCAATCCTTTTCTCAACATTACAATCCTCCTTTTTTTTTTTTTTCAGACCAAGCTTTACCAATCAAGATAAGATCCTTTTTCCAAAGAGAAATTACTACGTGAACACCAAGCTAGAGGTGCGCAAGATCCCACGTGAGCTCAACAATATCACCAAGCTCAATGAGCACTTCAGCAAGTTTGGAAACATCGTCAATATTCAGGTAAAATGACAAAAATGTTTTTTGTTCTTATATCCAATGACTAAATGGATGAAATACCTTCTTTAAATCATTGGGGACTGCCTACTAAGGAAGCTACCTATTATTATCCACCTGACAAGGGTTTCTTAACTTTATATCTTACTCTTCGTCAACTTTAATGTGGCCCAAATCGCAAAGTGTCCCCCCACAATTATTTTTATCAAAACGACCGGCTCAGCACCGTGATGTGTGCTATTACTTTTACTGGCGTTTCGAATTACCGTGGCGACGTAATTTGGAAACAAAGACGCCATTTTTATTACCGGAAGTCATTTTTCATAGACTCTGGTTGCAAATCCAATATCCAAGATGGCCACCAGAGCTAGAAAGGAAGCATACTCTAAATCAGCCATATTTAGAGATATTAAGCTAATATTTGGTGTGGTGGCTGAGAGCAATGCCCAATAAATGATGAATTTAAAAAAAATCAAGATAGCCACCAAAGTTCAATTCAAATGGCTTCAACTCAGCTATTTTTACACACAGAGTTGAAGTTTGGTGTGGTTATAGCTGAGAACGCTCTCCATCACATACTGAATCCAAATCAAAATCCAAGATGGCCACCATAACTTAAAAGAAAACATGACTTTAATCATTGATATTTTGCCATTTTAAACTAAAATTTGGTGTGGTAGCTGAGAGTGAACCCCAACTCTTAATACTGTCAAATCAGCATTTTAAAATGGCCGCCATGTGGCAGTCCCCATCAAAGTTTCTCCAAGAACTTTCTAGTTTCCTGTATGATGTTTTTGGAGTTTGTTTTTGCTGTTTTTATTCAGTGTACCACTCTGGCTAACTTTATCAAGCTCAAACCGTGAGAATTAATTTGACCACAAGCGGACAATTGACCCGTCCACTCTGCTCTCAATCCAGGTGGTGTTTGGTGGAGACCCAGAGTCTGCGTTGATCCAGTACACAAAGAACGACGAGGCCAGGCGAGCTATATCCAGCATCGAGGCTGTGCTCAACAACCGCTTCATCCGTGTGTACTGGCACCGCGAGCCCGACACCAACACCGCGGGTCCTCAGGAGCAGAGCTCGGGGAGCCTGTTGGCAGGGTTAGCCTCCAGCCAGGGGCTGCAGCACAGCAACATGCATATGGTTGGAACAAACGCTGGTCCTTTCATTGCTTTATGCTGTGAAATCATTCTTATTAGGCTAAATGTGATTAACTTGTTTTTCTCCTCCTCCTTTTACCTTTTGATGTCTCTACAGGGGATCAAACAGCACAGTCCGTCCGCCTACGTGTTGAACAAGACTGCACCGAAACATCACCTGAACATAACGAAGACAGACGGACCGACTCCAAACGCTGACGCTGTTAATGTACCGGTATGTTTGTGGTTTTACTCAGACGTTTTAAAAATAATCTCGTCATATTTTGTGTTCAGTTAAGTTAATCGACCAAATGATGCGTCTCTGTGATAAAATACACAAAAACAAGTAGGATTGGTTTAGTGGGTCATGGCAAAAGTGTGTTTAGAGATTTTTATGACATATAATGTGAAAAAGAGCAAGACTGTTTTCGGAAGAGGATTTAAAACTGATAATGGTTTTTAATGCGCAACTAATAATTCATTCTCCTTTTGAGGTGAGGGGTGCTGCTGTCTGTAATCTTGCTTTGTTAACTGTCATGAATCTTTTCTTTTACGTGTGTGTGTGACACTTAGGTGGCTCCTAACACCCAGAAGATCCCTTTCACTTCGACAGCCATCAGGTCAAAGAGCCTTGGGAAAACAGGAAAAGCGCTGGAAGCTCAGGAAGCTCTTAAGAAGAAGCAGGCATGTTTGTTTCTTAACTCTGACTGCTACAAGAAACTCTTGGACATTTTTATTTTTGAAGGCCTTCTAGTGTAATGCAGGTTTATGTATGGACTGAAAGGTTTTCTAATAAAAATAATGTTAAGTTGTATTTTATTTCATCCAGGAGGCATTAAAACTCCAACAAGCCATGAGGAAGAAGAAACAACAGATGCTGAAGACACAAATCGAGTGTCAGAAAGTAAAATGCTCTTCATGACGTTTCTTCTGTCCATGGCTTTTTTTTTTATATATATATATTTTTATTGTACCTTTTTACAAAATGGATCACTTCCCTACTGTTCTTCCAGGCTCTGATCAACCGTCTGGAGAAGAATCGCGGTATGAAGCCTGAGGAGAGGGCCAACATCATGAAAACCCTAAAGGAGCTAACAGAGAAGATTACACAGCTGCAGAATGAAATGAACCCGGCCCCCCAGGCCTCAAGTGGCAAAACCAGCCACAGCCAGCCCAAAACCAAGACAGATGTACGTTTAGGACTGACACACAGCTCAGGCCTCTCCATATTTATTCATGCAGTCACTTAGCTTTTTTTTTATTTTTATTTATATATATAAAAATGTCATTTTTCAGCACATTTATAGATTTAATGATCAGTTCTTATTTTGTATCATTTGGTTCCAGGCTCAGAAAGAGTTGCTGGATGCTGAGCTGGACTTTCACAAGAAGATGAGCTCCGGAGAGGACACAACAGACCTCAAGAGAAAACTGGGGCAGCTGCAAGTAGAGGTAAAACACACAAACACAATAACTTTGCACTAACTGCAGTCCAAAAAGTGCATTGTAAACCACAATTTGCCTTAAAAAGTTGATTTTTAAACTGAAATTCTGAACTTTTGTGTTCCCATAAAAAAGCATCTGTAACTTAATCTGGAAAGATGAATAGCACCATCATGATGCTGTCTGTTAGGGCACACAGATCTGGAGGTATCGAAGAGAACATTGTGTTTCCTCAACGCTGTTTTTGAGAATTTAATGATGTGATATCATGAAATGTCAATAGACGGAAAACATTTCTTCTTTTTTAATGCAAAATTCAAATATAGAAACTGTCCATCCCAGAAGGAAATAAAAAAACTCAAGTAAAACAGTTTTTCTTTTTTTTTATTCATATTTTATCACAGCAGAACAATTAAATGGGATTAAATTCTTTAACGTGACCTCAGATAAAAGTTTTGACTGACATTTATTGTAAAACTCAAAGTGCACATGTCATTATGATGAAGATAGACACAAATATCTGTAAACAGCATGGAGCATGTTCGTTTTATAGTTTTACGTTTTTTTGTAAAACTTCACTGGTTTTATATATTTCATCATCAGTGAGCTATGTATCACATGAGGAAATAATTATATTGGTTAGTTATTTTTAATCGCCCACTGCAAAACGTAAAAAGTGCGTGATAATGGTTGTGTGTAGCTGTGTGTGTTCTTTGGTCTGCCGTGTTAGCAAAATAACTCGTGAACCACCACCATGCTCATCAAGGTTTTGTTTGTAGGTCATAGTGTTAAATTTGTATATAAATCTTTATAATGGCTGTGTGATATATGTAAAGTTTAAGTTTGACGCACCAACGTTCATGCTCAATAATCCAGGTAATAATCCAACAATGTTCAGTCAGGTCATCTAGACGGTTTATTTATTTATTTTTTTTTTTTTTTAGGTTTACTTAATTTTTATACATCCATCAAAGGGTGAACATATTCTTATATAGTCTTACGTCCGTACACTTTCTCTTGTTGGGCTCATAACTTCTGATTTGTTCCAGATAATTTCACAACACTTGATACACATTTGCATTAGACGGAGTGTCGTGTCCACTTTTCATCACCCTCAGCTCCAAGGTCAAGGTCACGGTTATACAAGGTCATTGCTTGTCCTGCCCATTGCTATAGATTGCTGTATAATAATTTGTTGACGAGCGTATGACGTGCAGTAAATGGTACAGTAGTCCCTCGTTTATTGCAGGGATTACGTTTTGGGACCCCCCGCCACACACACACACACACACACACCGCAATATGTGCAAATCCGTGAAGTAGGGATGTTGTATTTATCTTCGTATTTACATATATTTTAAGGCTTTAGAAACCCTTCCCACACTCTTGCAATGTTCTAAACTCTTAAAGCTACTAATTTTAACAACATACATATATTGTATGTACTGTACTGTAGCTACTGCAGAATTTTATATGGGGACTCACCAGCCTTGGTCCGGTTCTGGTCTGGTTCTGATCGGCTCTCTGCAGCCGCTGAGCACCAGACGCTTTTGGAGAGAGCCGGACCTTCGGAGAGCCAGCACAAAAACACACAATGGTCCAGACAGAGTCCAAATAATCCAGAGAAATCCAGATGAAAAAGGCTGCGTGGGTTGCGGAGGGTCCGGCACCTCCCCGCTCGGTAGGCCTTGTGGGCTGGCGGGCAACACAGATTCACAGATGAGTCTGGAGGTCTGGTTCTCGGTCGGTTCCGTGTGGCTCTACAGCCGCTGGGCGCCGAAGTCACTGAATAAGGACCAAACTTTTTCAGATCGATCAAAACGTTCCTTCCTTTTCAGCAGAAGGCAACGGGTGGAGCACTGTTGGCTTCTGGGAAATGTAGTCGTTTTGAGTGACGATACAGTTTAGGCTTATTGAGAGAAAGCTACAAAAATGCAGCGCCAGTCTGAAGTTTTATTTATTTTTTGTTAACTTTTTACTGTACAGTATCCCGTACTGTCCCAATCACGATTGATTTTAAAGTTTACAATCGTGTGTCTTGTACATTTTTTTCATGTACAGTCTTAGTTTAAGTTTCAGTTCAGTTTTTTTCTTTGGAAAACCGCAAAAGAGCCATTCTGCAAAAGTCGAACCGTGAAGTAGCGAGGGACTACCGTACTCTTATTAAACATAATCTAAGATCAGTGGTTTTATTACTAAATTTCTACAACTAGCAGATCACACACGGTGTAAACACAGGAGCTCAAACTGAATACATTGTAAACTTACAAAAAATAGTTGTCTTTTAAAAGAATAATAACGCAGTTTTGGTTCGTAGCTCTCAGTTTTCTGTTTCCCCGGTATCCCAAGTGTACATAATTAGCTTGTTGTTAAAAATGCATACACCCTGCCCCCTCCTGTCTCTTCCATCCAAGCTCAAACCTCCTTCTGCACATTACACCCTCAGCCACTTAAGCAAGCCCAAAGGACCCGCTGCTAACGAAGCCGAATCAGACACAAGTCCTTTACACTGATGGAGCCCCGTCTCATTAAAGTTTGAGTCGCCGGTCCATGTGAGGAGATTGCAGAATGACAATTAAAGGTGCAAGCGAGGCGGGGACAAATGCAGTAGAGTGGCTGTGAGGTTGTTGGGTGGTTAAAAAGTAAGATGTCCTTTTAAAAATGAAGGAGGAACAACTAATGGTGATGGGGACAGAGTGACAGAGTTCAAAAATAGACTAGAACATGTGAATAGTTTGTTGGGTTTTAGACGGTCGTGTGTCTCTTTTTAAGCTGTTTTTCCATTTATGTATTTTAAGCATCATTATATTAAAAGGAACACACATCGCCAAGTTTGAAGGAACAAAACGTTGTCTTTCTCTGCTTTAGGCGACACGGTTGGGCCTGATCCGACCTCCTGCCGGTCGAGGCCGAGGCCGGGGGAAAATGGCACCAGAGTCCGGTGCAATACACGGGGGTCGAGGCAGGAGTCGAAGCCGGGAGATGGGATCCCGCGGGGGGCTTGTGAACCGTATGGTGGTGGACCACAGACCCAGAGCTCTCGCAATTTTAGGAGTCACGCAGGAAGAGAAGGAAGAACTAATGCCTCATTTTGTGGTGAGAAAATATCTAGACAGAAATTTCCTTCGTAAATATATTCCAGGCGTGATTTGGTTCTTCTTAGGCCTGTCACAATAAACAATAAATCAATTAATCGCATGATAAATGAAAATTATTGACCTCATTTTCATTTATCGGCTTTATCATTTCGTCTTGTCTCTCTCTTTCTACTGAAGACACTGGATGACAAAAGGCTCAACTCCGGTGCTCTACACTTACCCCTCCCTTTCTCTTTTCGCTTTAAAATCTGTTTTAACCATCTAAAATCACGCTTTTGGATCATTCAAAGCAGCTAAGCTGAGAAGCTAAGCTAACAGGCCGACCTCGGGGGGGGGGGGGGGGTGAAGGCCCAAAATCCAAGGTTGAAACCTGTGGCTTCATCTAAAAAGTTTTTCTCTGCAAAAAGAAGCTGAGAACTTGTTTACTGATTTTTTTTTTTGATTTTTTTTTTTTTATATATATTAAAAGCTTTGTGTGAAATGCTATGCTAAAGAGCTCAAACCACACTGAGCGTCCACCATTTTGAGAACCGAAGGGAGACAGTCCATGTCACATCAAGGGACCTCCCTCCCATTTTTCTTAGAGACACGCTGCTTGCTCCCTCACTATCAATCCTTTGGTTCAAACAGCCTTATACTGCCATCCAGTGGCCCAAAAATAATTACTAATTATTGTCAAATCTCAAACAATATTATCGTTTATCGCAATAATTTTTGAGCCTAGCAAAAAAATTTTCTCGTGACAGGCTAGTCACGTGACTAGTTCTTCTGATATTTAATTTTGTTTGTAATTTTTTTTCCTTTAGAAATTTGGTGAAATTGAAGACCTCCGTGACCAAGATGCCAGCAGCGTCATCATGACCTTTAAGACACGAAGTGAAGCAGAGAATGTAAGTCATGTGACTCCAAATTCAACCAGACTCTCCTTCTTTCTCCTCTGTTTTCTGTCCTGTCACGTTTCATCCATGGAGGCCTTCATTTCTCATTCTGCCAGTCTCTCCTTTTTTGTTTTCCAGGCAGCCAATCAGGGAGCTAAGTTCAAAGGTCGTATTCTGCAGATCTCCTGGTACAAGCCCAAAACACCTTCTGTTACAACTGAGCCAGAGGAAGAAGTGGCTAAAGACGAGGACAACACGGTACAAAACAACTCGCACACAGATGGTCTCATTTGGTCGTTGAAGTTTTTGGAATGTTAAAAGTGGGGATACTTTTTTTGTACAAGTTTAATTTACATTTGTACATTTCTTTCTGGGGGTTCTGAATTTTTCACAGCTGCAGCAAAATCAGAGCGAGCCTCTGTTCTAAGAGCATCTTAGCCCCTTGAGTAAGACAGCACTACTGTCGGGTGAAACCTTACTGTAGTTTCAAGTAGCAATATTGAAAGGGTGGTGTGGGGGTGGGGGGCAGAATGAGTTTGGTCCTTGTCTTATCACTTGCATTGCACTGAAATGCAGAGGTGCAATTCAATGAAGGGTGGCACAGCTCCTTTAAGAGTGTGCACAGAGAGCAAGAGCAAACACAAGGCGAAAAATCGAGCCAATGTCCTCGTAGTTAATATCTCACCGGGCTGTGACTGTTGGAGACTTATTGGGAACTCAAAATGGCGAGAAAATATGCATTTTCGATGCATTTTCAGCAATGAATGTGGTAAAACTGGCTTATTGCTAGTTGCAGGGGTGGAAGTATTGAATTACAAATACTCACGTTACTGTAATTAAGTAGATTTTTTGGATACTTGCACTTTTATGAGTATTTTTTTCAAGTGTGTAATTTTACTCGTAATTAAGTACAATTTAGACCATGTAATCTACAAACCGGATTCCAAAAAAGTTGGGCCACTACACAAATTGTGAATAAAAACTGAATGCAATGATGTGGAGATGGCAAATGTCAATATTTTATTCGTAATATAACATAGATGACAGATCAATAGTTTAACCTGAGTAAATGTAACATTTTAAAGGAAAAATATGTTGATTCAAAATTTCACAGTGTTAACAAATCCCAAAAAAGTTGGGACAAGTAGCAATAAGCGGCTGGAAAAAGGAAATTGTACATATAACGAACAGCTGGAAGACCAATTAACACTAATTAGGTCAATTGACAACATGATTGGGTATAAAAGAGCTTCTCAGAGTGTCAGTGTCTCTCAGAAGCCAAGATGGTAAGAGGATCACCAATTCCACCATTGTTGCGCAGAAAGATAGTGCAGCAATACCAGAATGGTGTTACCCAGCGTAAAATAGCAAAGACTTTTAAGTTATCATCAACCGTGCATAACATCATCAAAAGATTCAGAGAATCTGGAGCAATCGTTGTACGTAAAGGTCAAGGCCGTAAAACTCTACTGGATGCTCGTGATCTCCGGGCCCTTAAACGTCACTGCACCTCAAACAGGAATGCCACTGTCAAGGAAATAACAGAATGGGCTCAGGAATACTTCCAGAAAGCATTGTCAGTGAACACAATCCACCGTGCCATCCGCCGTTGCCAGCTGAAACGCTACAGTGCAAAGAGGAAGCCATTTCTAAGCAAGCTCCACAAGCTCAGACGTTTGCACTGGGCCAGGGGTCATTTAAAATGGAGTGTGGCAAAATGGAAGACTGTTCTGTGGTCAGATGAGTCACGATTTGAAGTTCTTTATGGAACACTGGGACGCCATGTCATCCGGACCAGAGAGGGCAATGATAGCCCAAGTTGTTCTCAACGCTCCGTTCAGAAGCCTGCATCACTGATGGTATGGGGTTGCATGAGCGCTTGTGGCATGGGCAGCTTGCATGTCTGGAAAGGCACCATTAATGCAGAGAACTATGTTCAGGTTCTAGAACAACATATGCTCCCATCTAAACGTCATCTCTTTCAGGGAAGACCCTGCATTTTTCAACACGATAATGCCAGACCACATTCTGCAGCAATCACAACATCATGGCTACGTAGGAGAAGGATCCGGGTACTGAAATGGCCAGACTGCAGTCCAGATCTTTCACCTATAGAGAACATTTGGCACATCATAAAGAGGAAGGTGCAACAAAGAAGGCCCAAGATGATTGAACAGTTAGAGGCCTGTATTAGACATGAATGGGAGAGCATTCCTATTTCTAAACTTGAGAAACTGGTCTCCTCTGTCCCCAGACGTCTGTTGAGTGTTGTAAGAAGAAGGGGGGATGCCACACGGTGGTAAAAATGGACTTGTTCCAACTTTTTTGGGATTTATTGACACCATGAAATTTGGAAACAACAGATTTTTCCTTTAAAATGATACATTCTCTCAGTTTAAACTTTTGATGTGTTCTATTCTGAATAAAATATTAGATGTTGGCACCTCCACATTATTGCATTCAGTTTTTATTCACAATTTGTTTAGTGTCCCAACTTTTTTGGAATCCGGTTTGTACTTCACAGCTTTTAGACCATGTAATTTACTTCACTACTTTTAGACCATGTAATTTACTTCACTACTTTTAGACCATGTAATCTACTTCACTACTTTTAGACCATGTAATCTACTTTGCTACTTTTAGACCATGTGAACTACTTCACTACTTTTACACCATGTAATCTACTTTGCTACTTTTAGACCATGTGAACTACTTCACTACTTTTACACCATGTAATCTACTTCACTACTTTTAGACCATGTAATCTACTTCACTACTTTTACACCAGGTAATCTACTTCACTACTTTTAGACCATGTGAACTAC